CCCAGTTCGTCTCCTTTTGGAGCACCCGTTTTGTTTGTCCCCAAGAAGGAAGGAGAGCTTCATATGTGTATAGACTATAGGGGTCTGGACGCGATCACAGTGAAGAATGATGAGCCACTGCCCAGGATAGACGATCTTCTAGATCGAGTGCAGGGTTGTAAGTATTTCTCTAAGATAGACTTAAAGTCCTGATATTGTCCTCAAGGTTGCAGACTCGTCCTTGCCATTTGTCGTCACCACGGACGCGAGTCAGTATGGGATAGGCGCCGTGTTGCAACAAGATGACGACAATGGCTATAGACCCATAGAATTCATGTCCGCGAGAATGCCTTGTGAGAAAGTTGCTACCTCCACGTACGAGAGAGAACTCTACGCTCTCAGATAGGCTTTAGATCATTGGAAGCACTACCTGCTTGGGAGGCACTTCAAAGTGTATTCGGACCACGAAACGCTTAGATGGTTAAGAACTCAGGCCAAGATGACACCTAAGTTGACTAGGTGGGCCGCAGAGATAGACCAATTCGACTTTGAGCTCAAGCCAGTGAAGGGCTAGTACAACGTAGTTGCGGATGCTCTGAGTAGGAGATCAGACTACTTTGGAGTTGTAGTACACTATCTGGATATAGGGAGAGACACGCAGGAGAAAGTGAGACAAGCGTATACGCAGGACCCTATCTATAGCGACCTCTTAAAGAGAGTTAGAGAGGGCCCAGAGACCGAACCAGATTACCGCACTAAAGACGGGTTGCTGTTTGAAAAGACTAATGTGTTTGACCGCCTGTGCGTTCCCAATAGCGAAGAGATTCGTAGTCTAATTCTAGGGGAATGTCACGATACTGAGGGACACTTCGGTTGGCAAAAGACGTTAGCCAATCTGATGCGTGCGTACACATGGCCAGGGATGAAGAAYGACTGCATAGAGTATGTCCGCAGTTGTAAAGTATGCCAGCGAAACAAATCTACTACACGCGCGCCCCTAGGTCTTCTCAGACCCTTGCCTATTCTGGATCATCCGGGAGACTCAGTGTCCATAAACTTCATGGACACGCAAGTCAGGAGCAGACATGGTAAGAGCCAAGTCATGGTCATAGTCGACCGTTTTAGTAAGTATGCAGTTTTTGTTCCTTTGCCTGCAGAGGCACGTACAGATTTAGTAATACAGAAGTTCTTTGACTTTTGGGTTAGTGAAAATGGAATCCCATTGTCAATAGTTAGTAATAGAGATAGTCGTTTCACCAGCCAGAACTGGCAAGAACTCATGAGAGTCTACGGATCTAAGTTGTTAATGTCGTCCGGCCGTCACCCAGAGACTAACGGTTAGACAGAACAGATGAACAAGATCCTACAGCAAGTTCTGCGCATGTATATTAGACCAGATCAGATCAACTGGGATGAGATGTTGCCCAAGGTCGCTAGTGCGTACAACAACAACGTGCATTTATCCACCTGCCGCACTCCCAATGAGTTGCACAAGTCCTTTAGACCGCGCAGACCGTTCGAAGGACTGAACCGGGATCAGATTCACAGATTATCGCCCGGTACCAGGGAGTTTGCGATACAGCATGAAAAGGAGTTAGCCACTGTTGTTGAGAACCTTCGGAAGGCCCAACACAGAATGATAGAACGGGCTAACAAGCACTGACGCCCATCGCAGTTTCAGGTGGGCGACTTAGTCTGGGTCAAAGCAAAAAAGTTTGCACCGGAAGAAAACATCTCGCAAAAGTTACTGCCATGCCTACATATAGAGGACCGTGGCCGATTCTAGAAGTCAAGGGCGGAGAGGATGGACCGTCCTACAGCATTGAGATTCCAGCACACCTCCACACATACCCTGTGTTCCATGCTTCAAAGCTGTTGCCGTGTGTCACTAGTCAACAGTTCCCTTCCAAGAGATCCATGATCCCACCGGATATGGATGGGAGCTATGACATAGAGGGCATTGTCGAAGAGGTCGTCCCCAGAAACAGTATAAAGTCCGGTTTGCCTATCAGGAACCGGAAGACGACCGCTGGTTCACGAAAGCAGAACTTCTAGAAACCGCTCCCGACATAGTCAGAGCCTATGAGCGTGACAAGAAAGGTAAAGGTCCCGCCTTGGACTGAAATTTTCTCGGAGGACCTCGAATTTAGGACGGCGGGAGTGAAACGGTTTTCACCTTTTAGCAGTAGCAGATGCAGTACCCAGGGTTCGATCCCTAGACCTCACCCTACCCATGTACAGTATCTGTGTAGACCTCGGGAATTGAACCTGTGAATTGTGTATTCGTAGGCAGTTGGTAGGCCTGTCGTAGGTCCATAGGCAGCAGGGGTTCGATCTGTAGGTCTATAGCGTAGGAGTCTTAGCGAGTTCCAGAAGCTTAGTTGTAGACCTTCTAGAAGGTAGGCAAGTGGGCAAGTGGTCAAGTGGTGAGGCAAGTGGTGGACTAAACCGCAGTGCAACAGCAGTACAACATCGGTAGGATAGCGGTGAGTCCACAGTCAGTCAGCAGAAGGTCCAGTCAGTCCCAGTCCGGTCCAGCAAGTACCACAGGGGGACTGTGAGCACCAAGGGCCGATGGCAAAGGGCATACCAACGAGTTTCTGAAGTATAAATCAAGAGGCAGCGCCCAGCCATTCATTCATTCCTGCGTGAGCCATGCGGAGGCGCTGCCACAACGACTTGTGCAAGGAGGTCTGCAGATGAGCCCGGAGGACGCAGT